CTCACCCTAATCTCCCCATCCTATTTCCCACTCACCCTAATCTCCCCATCCTATTTCCCACTCACCCTAATCTCCCCATCCTATTTCCCACTCACCCTAATCTCCCCATCCTATTTCCCACTCACCCTAATCTCCCCATCCTATTTCCCACTCACCCTAATCTCCCCATCCTATTTCCCACTCACCCTAATCTCCCCATCCTATTTCCCACTCACCCTAATCTCCCCATCCTATTTCCCACTCACCCTAATCTCCCCATCCTATTTCCCACTCACCCTAATCTCCCCATCCTATTTCCCACTCACCCTAATCTCCCCATCCTATTTCCCACTCACCCTAATCTCCCCATCCTATTTCCCACTCACCCTAATCTCCCCATCCTATTTCCCACTCACCCTAATCTCCCCATCCTATTTCCCACTCACCCTAATCTCCCCATCCTATTTCCCACTCACCCTAATCTCCCCATCCTATTTCCCACTCACCCTAATCTCCCCATCCTATTTCCCACTCACCCTAATCTCCCCATCCTATTTCCCACTCACCCTAATCTCCCCATCCTATTTCCCACTCACCCTAATCTCCCCATCCTATTTCCCACTCACCCTAATCTCCCCATCCTATTTCCCACTCACCCTAATCTCCCCATCCTATTTCCCACTCACCCTAATCTCCCCATCCTATTTCCCACTCACCCTAATCTCCCCATCCTATTTCCCACTCACCCTAATCTCCCCATCCTATTTCCCACTCACCCTAATCTCCCCATCCTGTTTCCCACTCACCCTAATCTCCCCATCCTATTTCCCACTCACCCTAATCTCCCCATCCTATTTCCCACTCACCCTAATCTCCCCATCCTATTTCCCACTCACCCTAATCTCCCCATCCTATTTCCCACTCACCCTAATCTCCCCATCCTATTTCCCACTCACCCTAATCTCCCCATCCTATTTCCCACTCACCCTAATCTCCCCATCCTATTTCCCACTCACCCTAATCTCCCCATCCTATTTCCCACTCACCCTAATCTCCCCATCCTATTTCCCACTCACCCTAATCTCCCCATCCTATTTCCCACTCACCCTAATCTCCCCATCCTATTTCCCACTCACCCTAATCTCCCCATCCTATTTCCCACTCACCCTAATCTCCCCATCCTATTTCCCACTCACCCTAATCTCCCCATCCTATTTCCCACTCACCCTAATCTCCCCATCCTATTTCCCACTCACCCTAATCTCCCCATCCTATTTCCCACTCACCCTAATCTCCCCATCCTATTTCCCACTCACCCTAATCTCCCCATCCTATTTCCCACTCACCCTAATCTCCCCATCCTATTTCCCACTCACCCTAATCTCCCCATCCTATTTCCCACTCACCCTAATCTCCCCATCCTATTTCCCACTCACCCTAATCTCCCCATCCTATTTCCCACTCACCCTAATCTCCCCATCCTATTTCCCACTCACCCTAATCTCCCCATCCTATTTCCCACTCACCCTAATCTCCCCATCCTATTTCCCACTCACCCTAATCTCCCCATCCTATTTCCCACTCACCCTAATCTCCCCATCCTATTTCCCACTCACCCTAATCTCCCCATCCTATTTCCCACTCACCCTAATCTCCCCATCCTATTTCCCACTCACCCTAATCTCCCCATCCTATTTCCCACTCACCCTAATCTCCCCATCCTATTTCCCACTCACCCTAATCTCCCCATCCTATTTCCCACTCACCTCCATCTCCCTCTCTTCCTTTGCCCCCCTCCTTCCCTCCCCTCCCCTCCGCCTTCCCCCTCTTCCCCCCTTCCGCACTTCCCCCTTTCTCACTTCCCCTTCCGCCAGGAGCTGGGCATCACGGGGCTGCACATCAAGCTGAGGGCTACCGGTGGTAACCGCACCAAGACGCCTGGCCCTGGAGCTCAGTCCGCCATCCGCGCTCTTGCCCGTTCCGGCCTCAAGATCGGCCGCATTGGTACGAGCCTTGTCCCCTTTTTGTTCCCATTGAGTGTGCAATTTCCACCCCAAGTGCATTCCTGCTCCTTTTTTCACTTCTGCCACCAGTTTTTTGAGGTGGTGATAGTGATACTGCAACATGTGGCTTTGTTGTCCACTGGTTTCTAATATTTGCTTTTGGTGCGGTTGATTGTCTGGGACCGTGTTGTCGTGCAGAGGATGTGACCCCTATCCCCACCGACAGCACTCGCAAAAAGGGTGGTCGCCGCGGTCGCCGTCTGTAAACCTTGTGCCTTACCATCTCTTGCTGGGCTTCTATGTTTCTAGAATATTGCACTAGCAGCAGTAGCAGCACCTCAGTGCACGCAGCAGCTGAAGCTGAGAAGCAGCAGCAAGGAGAGCCCTTTTTAATCTAGTAGTGCATGTCTCAGTGCCTGATTGTAATTTCATCTGTGGCATTATTCTGCTAATGTGCAATCAGTACAGTTCCACGTCTGATCCTCAACATAAGACTGCTGGGTAATTGGACAGGAATACTCCACTGATATTTGGGGCGTTGTAAAGATATGAGGATCCTTGGCCCAGGTGTATTTGGGGCCTGGCCATACAGCATTGTGTGAAGTACACGACAAGATCGAGTCAGTTCGGTCCAGCTAGACGGTTGGACCTAGCCATGAGTATTTTTGACTGGTCGTATGTGGTGGTGGCAATTGTTCAGCTATCCAAATGCTGGTGTTCAGTTCAGTCATTCGTTTGGAATCGCAGGCTGGGAACCTAGCCCCGGTTCGGTGACCCGGGGTCTAGCCTGGGCTCGAATTCTGGTTCGATACGGTTTCCTAGTCATCTTGAATGAATCGAAGCAGCGTGTGCCCCATTTGTTCACCCACGTACTGGAAGCTTCGGACTCCCACGTGTGAAAACGTTAGCGAAGCACTGTAAAAGCAGTCAACAGCCGACATCCGTTACTGTACTGCTGCGTCTCGGACATTGGTTGTCGTCTAATAGGTTAACTTTGCGACGACCGGTCGTCGTCTGGGTCGTCGTCTCCAGCGTCGTGTAACTTGACGGTCATGCGTCACTACACCTAGTCCGCGGTATTTTAACCACGTGAACTGTTTTGTTTCAAACACCCTTTATTCGTTTTCGGGTAATGAGATGGGCACCCAAAGACTTCGAGGTCATTATTTTACAGCCAGATGCCTTTCCGTCCGAAGAAACGCACACTTAGTGGTCCGAGATAGGGGGCAGATCGGCATTGACAGAGTTTTAACTGCCGTTTCTCGCGAAGGGAATGCTATATTCTACCCTCATTAATTTTCAAACTACTCGTTTAAACAAGTTTGACCAAGGAGAAGTACCCTTGCGCTGTTAAGATAGCGGCGGTTAAAATACCGCGGACTAGGTGTATCTTGGGAACACCGAACACCACTACAGTAGCACTCCGTTCAACGGTTAGAATGGCACTGCGGCGAAATTGGTCATGTAAAGAGAACAGGGCACTAAGCAACTCAAGGCCCCTTTTGACCCTTCTCAACCGCGACTTTAATTTATGCAAGAGCTCTTGAGCGCAAAGAACCTTGTGAAGTCGCGCTGGCCGGAATTTGGGGCACTCCCTCACAACTATTTGAGGCTCACGGCTGACTTCCCAATCCATTAGAAGCTGGATACACCTCCACCTTAGACTCGTTACTCACCAGTCAGCCCTGGCAGCTGCTTGCAGCCTTCCCTTTCCGCGGTTGGCGCGTTATTCCTTGTGGGCGATACGGGTCATTCGGCTCGCGTTAAATAGAGTCATACGGGTCATTCGGTACAGTGATTGTTAGACGCGTGCGTGGAGCCTGTACCTTCGTGCTCCCCCGCGTCCTCTGTGTCCTCTGTACGCATCGCCTCGAGATACGCGCCGCGTCCCAATTAAGATGTTCCGACACCATCAGTTAGCCAGTGTGGCTAAGTCGGAAATAGTGTACACAATATGTTAGCGGCGCGTACGCTGAACCACAGACAGCAGCCTACTAGCTCTACTTCTTAGGCCGTTGACTCGATGACCCATTACCTCGCAAGTACAAGCTGAATAACCCCGGCGACTGCAATAACTGCTATCATAAATCAATCCGTGCGGAAACCTCTTCTAGAAGCTAGATGAGACGTTATGTCGGCCAGACAAAGCCCGCTTGCTGCTCCAGGAATTCCGCGACACGTGTCCCTTGAGAATCCAGGCCTGCACCGCTTGTCGTCCGAGATTCCGGCGTCAGTATCCGTTCGCTGCTCTAACGACCTTGACGATACAGATTCCGTCTTCTCCCTCGCTCTCGATTCCGACGTTCCGTCCGGTCCATCGTCGCCGAAGCTTCCTCAAGCCTCGGTTCCTCGTCCGTCATTCTCCCCGTCCCTTTTCGGTGCCCCTCACGCGGCTGCGCCTGCTGATTTCGCAACCGCCGACCGTTTCGCATCGACGAATTTCGCAACAGCAGATTTCGCGTCTGCGACGTTCGCGAACGGTCATCGCCATTCCGCGACGGCCAGTGTTACACCCGCTGCGGACACCGACTCGTCCGTTTCATCCTCCTTCACCTCAGTCGACCTCGCTTCCGCGCGAACCTCCTCTATAAGCACATGCGGACAGCTACAGCAACAGCTAATAGCGGGGCCTAGATCCGATGACGTGGCGCAGCGCATCGCGCCGCGGGATGCGGGGGATGCGGATTCGGGGGCGACGGCGGTAGCCACGGCGGCAGTGGCGGGAATTCCGCCGGGCGGCGCGCTGGCGGCGCAAGTGGATCAGTTTTTGGCGCGAGCGGGGGAGGTGGATCAGGAGTTACGCGATTTGAAAGTGACTATAGCGAGGCTGCTAGGGTTTGTGGACGACTATCGGTTATTATCAAGCAAAGATGCAGTGGAGGTGAATCCGATTATTTATAACTTTACCAGCATAACAACCCTTGCATGAGCCAATTTGTGCTTGTAACGAAACACTGCCTGACTCGTAAGGTTTTCCATCCTACCTTTTCCTCCCTCCCTTTATTCCTCATTTCGCAGAAGCTTGCAGAGAGGATGACGTCAGAGCTGGATCGACTGCAAGGCTCGGTGACTGGAAACCTGAGAGACCTCATCAGCAGCAGCTTTACGGGGGATTCTGATAGGGTAAATTACCCCAGAAATGACCAGCACTCGGGCAGCCTGAGCAACAGCGGGAAACTGGGAAGCGGAGGTATTGGGGGGGGAGGGGGTGTGGTGAGTAGGGTTGGAGGCTTGGGGGCGTGGTTAGGCTCGGGAATTGGCAGTGTCGGGATCAATAGCAATAGCGGCAACAGCAGTGGCAGCAGTGGCATCAGCAGCAGCAGGGGAGCGGGAAATGCGGCCATGGGGCACATCAGAGCGTCAGTGGCGGCAGCAATGGTGGAGAAGCTATGGCGGCGGCACAAGGAGGCTGGTGACGTGGCTCTCCGATTAAATATGGGCGTTCGGGACACTGCGAGAAGAAGGTGGGTGTGATGGGACGTTTGTGAGGGGCTTGAGTGGCGAATGGGCTATGGAGTGAGGCGGCTCAGGGAGGCTGGGGTTGGAAGGAAAGCGGGGGGGAGGGAAGGGGGAAGGCTGGGGGTATTTTTGAGTCGACTCAGAAATTGAGTATGGGCGTGAGAGACAGTGCAGGGGGAAGGTGCATGGGTGGGAATTATGGACGGCCTATGGCTCATCTCTTGATTCTTTCCTTTCTCGCTTCACAACCACTCACACCTTGCATGTTTCCCAACCCTTTTCCAACTCACCCACCCACACAGACCCACATACACCACCATCACCACCACCCCCATCACCCCCACCACCCCCATCACCCCCACCACCCCCATCACCCCCACCACCCCCATCACCCCCATCACCCCCATCACCCCCATCACCCCATCACCCCCATCACCCCCATCACCCCCATCACCCCCACCGCAAGTACACGGAGTGACTTGGTTGAGCAGCAGCTGGGCTCACCAGGTTGTTTGCTGCTAACTCCAAATGTCTGCTCCCCTGCCTTGTCTGTTTCCCAAATCACCAACATAATCCTCCTTTTCTCTTTTCTCCCTGCATCCCCACCCACCCACCCACCACCAACATTTCCACTACCCGACCACCCCAGGTACACGGACGTGACAAGCTGTGCCCCTTCCAACGGCTTGGTCGAGCAGCTCTGCCTCACGTCATAATTCTTTTTTCTCTCCCTTATCCCCACCCACCACCAACATTTCCACTACCCGACCACCCCAGGTACACGGACGTGACAAGCTGTGCCCCTTCCAACGGCTTGGTCGAGCAGCTCTGCCTCACGTCATAATTCTTTTTTCTCTCCCTTATCCCCACCCACCACCAACATTTCCACTACCTGACCACCCCAGGTACACGGACGTGACAGGCTGTGCGCCTTCCAATGACTTAGTCGAGCAGCTCTGCTCCCCAGCCACCCCCGAGTGCCTGCTCTCCCGCCTCCTCTGCTCCTCCATCTCCTCCCTCCCCTACCTCCGCCCCTCCCAATCCACCTCGGGAGTCGGAGGGCTCGACGCCGACGTGGAACGGCTCGTGTCTGAGCTGGCGGCGCGTCAGCAGCTGTCAGCGCGGGTCGGCGACAGGCTGGCACGGCTGCAGGAGGGGATCCAGGAGCTTGTGTGGCTGCTGGAGAGTGGGATAGGGAGCGATGAGCTGGTGAAAGCGAGGAAGCGGATTGGTGGGATTCCAGAGAGGGGAGGGGGAGAGGGGAGGAGCGGGGGGAGGGGATGGACAGGGGGGGGAGGGGTTGGGGGGGGCTCTACAGCTTATGTGGTTATGGGGGGGGAGGGAGTAGGGAGTGGGGGTGGGGAAGGGGGAGGGAAGGAGGGGGGAGGAGATGGGAGGAAATGGCACTGGTCGTGTGTGGTGCTTGTGGGGGTGTTGGTGGTGTCGTCACTGCTTGTCGTGCCTGCTGCTGTGCTCTTGCTCATGTTTGTCAAGTGAGGACACCCCTCTGTCCTGTTGAGATAATGTCGAGACTTATGCACTTCAAGGAATTCGTATAGTTAGTACAGTAAAAGTACCGATAGCGCGAATAAATACAGCACAGTAGGCGAACAGGTACTTTAGTCTAGTTATATATTCTGTATGCTTGTCATTTTATTATATACTTGATTTCAGAGACTTTTTTATCCTGTTACAAGTCACTCATATAAAAAGACTTCCACTGCTACAGGAAGCTACCATCCTAAGACTACGATCCTATTCAAACAGTTAAGATTCTAACATGGTATGAGAGCAACTTAGGATTAAAACAGCTTCCATCTGCCTATTCTACAACTATGTCTGGATCTCCAAGGTCCAACAATGGCTCTTCTGTTACGAGCCCATCACGCCCAACTGCGTCTCCAGCTGCTGATAATTCACATCTGCAGCAACAACAACAACAACAACAACAACAACAATATCAGCAACCGATGTACGGCATGCCATTGAGCAGTCAGCCCGTACACACAACTACAGCAGCGGCATCATCGACAGCAGCCGCCGCGACAGCAGCATCAGCAGCCTCAACAGCTGCAGCTGCAGTCCCTGGTTCTTCAAGTCAACCAGGACAACAGTCTAACTTCGTTCCGACTGGACCTTACCAATATCAAGGTGCTTACCAACCAGCAAATCTTCAACAACGTGTTAACGCTGCCGTCTTGTCACTTAACCAGATGTTTCCAACTCCGATGAGCATTGATGGCTCCAGTTATCAGCGTGGTCAGATGCCACAAGGAAGTGATGGGTCGAACAACTCTTTCTCCTTTGGTCCTGCTGGACAAGGACAACAAACACAACAAGGGTTACAAGCGCCATCACTCTATCAGCTACAATCAGCTGACGGTACCGGAAGTTATATTCCTGCTTCTGCAAATCCTACAAAAATCAAAACGACAATGCCTTTTAACGGTCAAGATTTTTATACCTGGAGCATTGAGTTTGAGCTTCTTGTTCAGACCGCGGGGTTCTGGCAGCTGTATGACGGCACAGCACCATTTCCATCACACGGGTCACCACTTCAACAAGCCACTTTTCGATCGGCGTCGCTGACTGCATACACAGTTCTCGTTCGTAATCTGACTCCGACTGAACAGCTTGGAATTCGTTCTTTTCGTAACAGTGTCGCTCCCGCTGAAGCAGCTTGGTTATACCTGCAAGGGGTTCACATGGCAAACGATACTGTCAACCAGAGTAAAATTTTGACACAGCTGTCAAATATACAGATGATAAACGGCGAGAAGGTGACGCAGTATATTAACCGCGCTCGAAATCTGCGCGATCAACTTCAGAAGTGTGGAGGGTACTTTCCCGACGCTATGTTCCACACGGTGCTACTTGCGGGTCTTGGACCAGAATGGCGACAGTGTCGCTCTATACTTCGGATGCAAGCACAGTTGTCCGAGGGGGCACTCTGTGCCGCTCTCATCGCCGAGCAGCAGGATATGGATCTGCAAAACGCTCGAGGAGGGAAAAAGATGGTAAACAATACAGTCAGTTTTTATTCTAATCCACGTCACAAGCTCGTTTGTTCTTTTTGTCGAAAACCAGGACACACTATTGATACCTGCTGGTCGAAAGACAAACCATCTTGGAAGCGGTCTGCTTCAAAACATAATAAAGATTCTTCAAGTGAAGCAGAGAAGCCGGAAGCAGAGAAGCCGGACGCTGAGAAGCAGAATACTGCGAAGCTGACTACTGCACCTGCCAAACCACAAACAAAAGCAGTTATTAATTGCATGACATCAGTGTCAACGGTTTATGATCCTGATGCTGAAGAGCGGATTCACAACCGGTTCAACAACGAACTCAACACACCGATTCCACCTGAGGTTTATGCAAATCTTGCACATACCATTGCAGGTCCCAATACTTGGTACCTCGACAGTTGCTGCGGTCAGCACATGTGTTCGTCAGAGACGCGTTTCATCGTGAATCAACGCCGTCTGGAGAATCCCGTTGTCGTCACGGTCGTCAATAACCAACGACTTACAGCTCACTGGATGGGAAGTATTGTTCTGGACTCAGTTGAAGAAGACTTCAGTCTTCATCTGAATGAAGTTCTTCTGGTCCCTCGGCTTGGCTTCAACCTCATGTCATCTGCACAGCTCATGAAGAACGGGATTATCCTTCTCGGTGAACCTGGAAAATTCACTCTGAAATACGGTGAAAAGAAACTTGGCACGGCAGTTGAGCAAAACGGTGTTTTCGTTTTGAACTTCATACCTGAGCGTACTACTGCTGACTCTGATAACATTCTCTCGCTTGGTCCTTGGGAGCATCGTGATGATATTGATTACACCGACGATACAGTTCCACGTGAGGGAGTTGTCCCGACGTCTTCAACCACGGCTGCCGCCGTCATGTTGACCTTTGACGATCAAGGCTTGAATGATGTTGAGAACTCTCGGGAGTACATGGCTGCAGTTGAAGGTTGGGGTGATCCGACGAACATGCCGACTGATGACGGCATATGGGGGGCTGACGAACCTGATGAAACAACTTGGGGCGAGACACCTGCTGAACGCAATGCTCGTCTTCTCGCTGAAGCTGAACAACGCGTCGCTGAAATGGAGATTCTTGACTCGGGTCGTCTCGTTGGAGTTGAACCTGTACCTGCAGCATCTGATCAAGAAAGTGGCGAGTTAGTACTTGCTCCAGGCGAGTACGTGGATGTTGAGGTTCGTGTTCCACCACCAAATCTTACTCGTTACGTCGCACCTGCTTTCGATCAGATCCGCTCCGATGGTCATCAGCTTCTGTTGTCGTTCTTCGCTAACGCCGAGTACAATCTGCGCGCACAAGGTCACAAAGCCACGGGAGAAACATGGCATAAACGACTTGGTCATCCGTCGCAGTCTACGCTAAACAACACGATCAAGGCTGCAGTGCTTGACAAAAATTCGTTACTCTTACCGAGCGGTCTCGAACTGAAGCCGGTGAATCGCCCGGCACCCTGCACCATCTGCCCTGCGGCAAACCTACCACACGAGCCGTTCCCGACTCATTTCCCTGGAGCTGACGATTATCAACTGATGGATAAGGTTTACAGCGATATACTTAACTTACCTGAGGATGGTTTCAACGGCGAACGCTACGTTATCACATTTACAGACGCTTCTACTCGTTACGTTTGGACTGGAAACATGACTAACCGTTTTCTTGCGTTTACAGCTTTTCGCACCTGGCTTCCTCTCGCCGAACGAGAGTCTGATACTAAGCTCAAGGCGTTTCAGTGTGACGGCGCCGGCGAGTATCGCAGTACTGAGTTCACGACCTATCTGCAAAAACGCGGGATAAGACGACTTTTTTTGTTGCCTCACGCTCATCAGCAGAGTGGCGTAGCAGAGAGGCTCAACAGGACTCTGCAAGAGAAGATGCGAGCCCTTCTTGCCCAGGCTCAACTCGGCCCACTCTACTGGCCTTTCGCCATGGACCATGCAACGCTGTTGCACAATCTTCTTTCGTC